CTTTTGATGATTTTTACTCTTATGATACACAAATGTAGGAATAAATGCTATGTATGACATTCTATATGAACTATCCTTCAAGACGTAATTTCTTGTCATCTTATTAACTTGATGACTAAAGATCAGTCCAAATATACTATTTTTTATTTATCTTCAGTATATTATAATATATTGAAAAATTTCAAATTTAAAATAGAATATCTTCAGTTTATATGTAATAAACTATACAGAGTAACAAGTCATGAATTTGTAAATTTGTTTGATGATGATTTGAGTGAGTTGACTGATGTATTTATTGAGAATGTCACTTCAGAATTTAATTCACCGTGATGATATTCATCTCGTCATTAATTCACAAGGAGTTGATGACAACTTATACTTATATAAATTTTAGTACAGTTTTTGCAAAGATTGAATATTTTTCTAAATATGTCACTTTTAAAAAAATGAACGAAATCATCAATACTCTTTTCTATTTATTTTCAAATTGTTTCTTGACATAATTTGATTAATTTTTGTGTATTGATCTAGCTAATGCTTTTCAGAGTTAAATAAATATTTCACTTTGCCTATGATATGCTAGATACCATGCTAAATCAATTGATAATTTTTTTTTTGCCTATTAGAGTAGACTTGTGCATTTCATCATGAAAACAGAAGCTTTACATTCATATTTACATATAATGTCAAGAGGAAAAAATTGAAATTAAAAAATTCCTAATTAGTAGCATAAGGACATGTGAAGACAGTTTCAAGATGATATCCTTTCAGCACACCCAAAGATACATGTTCAATTCACCATACTTCAGTGATTTTTGACCTGCATCATTTACTTTTCTCATTGTAATGAGATTCCGTCTGTTTTCAGAGGGATGGATGGTCACTTACACCCTCTAGAGTCAGTAACAATACACATCACGTCTGTCATACCAATTTGTGCCACATTGGCTGTCGTTGTCAGGCACATGTTCTCGTGAAAAGAGTGGCTGCTGGAAGGTTTTCGCCATGTCAAGCAGCCTGATGGGCGGAAGGAGGCAGCAATCCCATTAGTCCAGCACTGTCCTTCTTTCCAGATAGTGTAGGAGCCTGAAGATGCTTGTAATAATTTCTCAGCGGAGGTCTGGAAACTTTAGGGTTGGGGGTACAAACCTCTGTATAACCAAATGTCGGTATCAAGGGCACCTGTGTTACTGGGGTTTAAACTTCTAGAGCTCGTCTTGCATCTAAAAATTCTTGCTACCAATGATCATGTCATGACATGGGGAGGTTGAACATAAACGAGTGCATACTGCAGCATCTCGTAGCTCGAAGCCAGGGCCATGACTCTGCCCACAGGCAAGCAAAGTATCTGGCTTGGATATAGAGTCTAGTTGAAGGTCTGATTATGGCAGATAGCCTGCGATTAAGAAATTGGTCAGGCACACACACTCCAACAAAGATTCTGGCCTCAGAGTGAAATCAATCAAAGGACCAGCATTTGAGCAACCCTTCTCAGAAACAACCTCTGCCCGCAGTACGTCAAGAATTCCCGGAGGTAAAACCGATAGTGTTTTGCACTTGGTCATCCGACCCGAAATCTTTCTTAGGACGTTGCAGAGAACGACCAAAATTTTATGATGGCTATCCTATGATCCATGCGCGTGCTCGTGGAATTGTTCTCAAGGAACGCTGACGTCGGTTCCAAACGCCATGCATACGACTGAGGATGTAACTTGTAAGTCAAATACATCGAGTGCTGGATGATCGTCGTGTGCTTGCTTTCCATTCATATCTGAACTGACGGTACTCCTGAAAGGACCACATGGGAACTAAGATGTTGACCCAACTGCCCGGACCTGTGGCATCTGGTTTCAGACGAAGATATGGATAATTTATAACCAAATCAACAACAAATAGTGTTTGTTGAAACCCACAAGAACCAACGAAAAAGAAAGCGGAGTAGATCTGAAGATATATGAAGGTCCCTTTACCGGCAACTTAGAGCATGATACGAGGCAACCATGTTCAATAGTAAAAAAAGGCATCATGATCTCGCTGCTATCTGTCGAAATTAGCGATTTGTCACATACAGCAACTGCCTGACGCTAACAGAGTTGGAAACTAACCTTAACATTCCGACTAGTTTCTGGTCCCGAATAATTCGTCCACAAACAAAATTGGATACATATCAGGTCATTTGAATAAATCAGTTGGAATGTAGATGTAGAGCACAGTATAAGGGCAGTAAATCAAGCCATAAGTCTCCATTGGGCTTTCATCAGGATCCCGGTTAAGTCACGTCGGCTATCACGTATGTTGTGCTGTCCTCGATTTAGATTCCAAATTGTTCAGAATCTACTCAGAGAAAGCCTCTACGTGGGCAAAGGGCCGCCGAATCTACCAGTTTCATCAGCTCAAACAGCTGACTGCATATCCAGTCTTCCAAGCTGGATTTCCTGACCTTGAAATTTTTGCCTTGTGTCAGATTACTCGTGGAAGGCATGTCTTGAAAGCGCTGAATATCCTGCTTTGTACCAAGCAAGGTTGCACTTACCAAGTAAGTAATTGGGTTAGCCGTGCAATACTATCGACATCAAGAAACAGTTTTTAGGCACAAACCACAGACTCGGGGGGTCTGGCCTTTTATCATCTGCTTTCGGTGCAATGTACACGATGATATTACATTTCTCCGTTCTGCACATTGGGTTTATGAGCTGCTTACTTAAAGCCATTTCCTGTAGCCAGCCTGCACAATCGCAGTCGAAGACGTTTGTTCTGGAATGCTGTGACAATCAATGTCATTGTTCATTGGCCTTCGCATGAAAAAGCACACAGTTCTGACCTTAAAGCAACGGCCTCGGAGAAAGTACAAAAGAAGTCGGATATAGAAGTAATTGCTTTGGAGAAAGTACAAAAAAAGTCTCCATGCCTTCGTGTCTTGAGAGAAGTCACTTTCTCTGTAAAGCGTTTTTGCTTGCAAGGAGCCGACCATAGTCCTTCATACTTCGCCGAATGTGCAACCTCTTTTCGGCACCGACGTAAGCGGCAGGTGCAGGTTAGTGGTGGGCTATGTTCGATTGACTAACTTTGTAATGAATCGACTGTTCGAATGAGAAGATGTGGAGAGTAGTCACTCTACCATTGGACAGAAGAGGATATGAGAGTAAAATAGGATGGCCTGAAAACAAACTCTCAACGGTGTAAGGAATGTAAATCTAACTCTCAATGCCTGTGACAGTAGACATCCTATGTCTGGGCTATCACCTACATGGTGTAATATCTAGTAACAGAGACCATCAGGACTATATTGTTCTATTCATCAGGCCACTCAACTTGAATGCTTTAATTTTATGACACACGAGAATGTCATTGGAGATTATTCGATAAGAACAAAACAATGGCGCCGCAGAGTGCTCTCTGACACGCCAAATACTAGTTGCTGTTTAAAGGACGCGATATGGACGTTGGACAAAGCCCTGCACTGTTTTTAGAAACACTTTCCAGCAGCGAATCTGAAATGTTAAAGCGAGCGGTTCTCAGAGGTCATTGGTAAGAGCAATCCTGTAGTGACGACTTTGCTACTCCATGAATTGTGACTTTCTCAAACTCTTCACATTGGGAAGGTTGACTCAGAAGTCTGCAGCCTTTACATATAACGAGGCGCGTGCACTTTGATCCAGTTCTATAGAACACAGTGGATATTTTAGAGCAAGAAAATCAACAACAATATTCGTGCTGAGAAGTACTGCTACATGTGACAACATACGTTTCTATGTTTATACGTTAGCTTTATATATATATATATATATATATATATTTATTTATTTATTTAAAGCTATGTAGGTTTGTAGCTTTATATCGGCATCAACTGGAAGGCGGAATTGCGAACATATTCCTAATCTATCCACAAACTAGCTTCAGAGGAGAAACCAACAGCCGAGCTCTAAAAGCCCATCATTTCTGTTCGTTTGCTTCCTTGTACGCGTCTTACCATTATTTCCTGTGCACTTGGCTCATTTCTGCTACGTTAAAAGTCCAGTTGGTGTTGAAATGTCATTACATTTAAAAGCAAAGATTTGAATCTTGTCAACTGCATTATTGACTAGTGGCATACTGGTGTACTGCAATCTGTGTGGAAAACTTAGTTCTATCGCCTCTCAATACTTCAATTGCACCTTATTGGTCAGTAGAAATTTCCATATCTCAAATTCTTGCCATTACCATTTGCTGTACACTTGTCAACACGTTATTCAAAGTAATGTAGAAAATCTCTTAATCAGCAATCTTGCAGAGAGCGCAGCAAAAAGTCTTTGTGTTACTTTAATGCCTGAGGCAGTTTTCTTGGTGAGAAAGTAGAGTACATTAGTGACGGGATGATTTGATTATAAATTTTATAGTAGTATTTTTTCCAATAATGGAAAGAGAAAAAATTTATTTCCAAATGAGCCAAATCTGGTTCAAAAGATCTACACATACTAGGAACATTCAAAAAAATTGAAGTATTTTTTTCCAGATAGCAATTGTTAGCATTATATGGTAAAGTATCTATGATATCTAAAGTAGACTACACAAAACAACTCAATTTCACTTAAGATAACTTGCTACTCTTATAATTAATGTACAATCTCATGAAATGTAACAATACAAACTTGGTGTCCGTAGCAAACATCGTCTTATTTTGTCTTGTAAACAAAAATATTAACCCCCATTTGGTCTTTCGAAGTGAAATATACATTTTTAGTAGAAACAAGAAACATCACATGGGTTTTGGCACATTCGACAGGGACGGGAACACGAAAAAGTCGTTGCGGAAGCGGTTTGTTGGAAGAGTATGTTGGAGATGGTCTAGTCAAAGATTGTGTGTCCCTTGTCAGTTGCCCTGACACGCCTGCGATGCCCTTCAGTCTGATTGGAGCATGATAGGAGGTAATAATTGTACTGAGAGATTAAATTTACAGGATAATCGGAAAATAAATCTCGGCAGACAACCCTAAACCCTTTGATAATGCAGGGCAGTACACAGAGACTTTGCTCCTGCCCTTCAATCATGTGTATCCTTTGAGCACTGTCAGTGAAACTTGCGAGTGGCTGAGTCCAGCTCACGGGCCATAACTCTGCTTGTGCACGTATTTTCATAGGTCCCGAATATCTCGAGTGCAAGAGTGCAGGCGCTGTTGCAATCAGCTCTTCTCGCTCGACGTGGTTCACAGACCGGTGGAGAAGATGGAGAGCTCTAGAAACGAGAACGATGCATCTCGGATTCTGGATGTGTGGATGGTGCCTCTGCCTTTCTTCAGTCACGTTGTGTGTTTTTCGCACTTCGCCCAAAAGCTTGCGAGACAGGGTCTCAGAGTAACTTTCTTTGCGAACAACGATGACATAAATCGTCTGAAATCATCTCCCAACCGGAGCTGGAAACTAGACGGTCTGGACATCCACTTCCGGGCCCTGGACATGCAAGCAGCTGCTCTGGCTGATGGTGTTGGTGGATGTGAGAGATTTGTAGGCCCATTTGAACAGGCAGAGGGAGCATTTGCGGCGATCCTGAGGAACGAGCTGGAAGGAGGATCAAAGCCCGATTACGTGATTGCGGACTATTTTGTGTTACATGGAATCACGGTGAGAGCATGTCGAAAAATCTAAGGTTCATAATCAATCCCTAGTGGTTCTGTCCTTTATGTAGTTTGATGAGCAGAATGGAATTTGTTATGCATTACATTACAATCTGTTGAAAAAATTTCGAGCGCGTCGGACACTTTTTAATTTTTTCATGTCATGCAGGAGACGACCAATCTTTACAAAATTCCAGCATGTGTCTATTTTACGTGCTCATCTGGTTATCTGGCAGGCTCCGCATACATAAACGAGCTCATACTAGAAGGGCTATTCAACATTCCTGGTAGTTACATGGATCCTAAAGCATTGAGGGAGGTGATCAGCGTTCCAGGTCAGCCGCTTATGAAACTTTTCGAACTAGGCGATGAGAATTATGTGGATGCTCCACTGTATCATCGGCGAGTTAAAAATTTAGACGCTCTGATAAAGCTTGATGTTGTTCTTCTAAGCTGCTTTGAAGAGCTGGAAGAACAATCTCTGCAAGGACTCGCAAGTGTTCTAAATGCGTGTGCTGCGAAGAAGGGCAGAAAGGTCAGAACATTTCGTAACTTTCCTCTCAAATTGAGGGCGTAATTTATCTCGAAGCATATATATCTGACATTTCGATCATGCTTTTGCTCTCTAGTGTGCACTTGGAGTAGTCATGGGATAGAAGATAATTGAGCCTGGCTCGGTTTTGCTTCTTTAATTTTCTTTCTCCTGGATGCAGATGCCACATATCTGGCCGGTCGGACCAGCATTCTCCTTCATATCAGTCGGCAATTCCCGAGAATCTCAGCAAGACGATCATCCTTGTTTGAAATTCCTCGACAAGCATCCTCCATCGTCGGTCGTCTATGTTGCGTTTGGGAACGATGTCAACCTCCCGCTAGAGCAAATTCATGAGCTCATTTACGGATTGGAGAGTAGCCAGCAACCATTTTTGTGCGCTCTACAGCCTCCGAGTAATGAGTCAAACCCGGACCAACTGCAAGAAATCGAGTCAATTTTACCTGCGGAATTTCTCGCACGTACCGCAGGCAGAGGCATGTTTGTGAAATGGGCACCTCAGATCGAAGTTCTATCTCATCCGTCAACAGGAGGCTTCATTACACACTGTGGCCAAAATTCTGTGCTTGAAAGCGTTTCCAAAGGAGTGCCCATTCTGGCGTGGCCCTTTCTATACGACCAATTTCAAAACGCGAGGTACGCCCTACAAAACACACTGTTTACCGTAGTGATTGCTCAGTTCACTTTGCTTCTGGTGGGGCCGAGCTGGCCTCCACTGGGCTGAGTCTCCGACTCACTGCAAGGTCTCTTTCTGTGGTAGGTGCATGATCTTATGGTTTCATCGTCGTGATGTTCTATCTGAAGGCATTTGAGAGGTTCTGATATTAATTTTGCCGTTTAGGGTTCTCTTCTTCTTTTCCTCTCAGGCTCACACTCATTTCGCCTGTGCCTCCCCGCAAAAGCTATGGTTTCTGTTTGTTATCATGTATGTCTGGCCAGACTTCTGCATGAAATCTAATTGTCGGCTTCTTCATTCTTTTCGCAGGTACTTGGTTGACGGGGCACGAATTGCAGTGGAAGTGTGCCCAGGTGTGATACCAGGCCAACTCGTGGACAGAAAGCAATTGGAGAGCAGTATTAACACCCTGTTTCGTACCGACGAAGGTGCAGCTCTGAGAAAGAGAGCTCTGCAGATGAAGCTGAAAGCCGAAGAAACCGTGGGACCCAATGGGTCTTCAACGAAGAACATGCAGGCGTTCCTCCAGGTGATCAGAGCAGGGGCTTCGTCGAAAATTGAACTATCCAATCTTCAACTCAAGTAGAGCGTTCGTCTCTACAAACGCGTGTCAAGCACGCTTGGGAATCAGGGAATTCTATCACGTTGCGATTTGTCGCCTTATCGTAAACTGTGGATAGATATGGAGCGACGGAGTGGGATCCAGAGGAACAAACTTTGAAAGTCCGATTAAAGGGCTGCAAGAGTCCGTCAGGTCGTGTCGGTAACTCTGGCCGGGCAGGCCTCAGTAGCATGAGAATTGGACATTTGAGTTACTGCACGGGACTAATCACGTTTCAAGGTCTAGATAGTACATAGCCTCCGACGAAGCATCACGCAACGATAGCGTACGAAGAAGCCTCACGCAAGGATCTCATATAGGTCTCATAGGAGTAGAGTCAGTAGTCACCACGTATTGTACAGCTGAGATACACATTGTCAATATGAAAGCATATTTCATGGGCTTAGTCAGGAACTGCAAATCATACAACCTGCTTTGGACGTTTTATCAAAACCAGAGATCGTAAAATAATTTACGTATATAAAAAATATGATTTGGAGATCGTGGAAAGGATGAGAGCCTGACTGAGATGATTTAACGCAAACGTGCTCGAGACTGGTAGCGTGTCAAAATTCATCAATCGATCATTATCGTACTTCCAACATGGACTAAGGTGAAATTCGCAATCGATGGGTCGAACGAAAATCAGAAGGCTTCCGCGACAACGACCACAACTTCTCACCACAAGTACGAAGATCGTCTCAAATCACTTGTCATCCAAAATCGAGTCAAGTCTCAAGAAAATGTCCCGCAAGACCGGCTCATCGTGTGCACACCCGACGTGCCGCATCCGGAAAAGTGTATGCGTTCATGGGAACTTTATTTCTCCCCGTTTTCATGATGAAATTAACCGCTGGCCCTACATTCTATACCAGCTACGCTTTCCTATCCACTTTACCAGCACCACCCGCAAAAAGCGTCGGCTTTTGTAGCTATCCTGTTGTGCATGGATTAGTACGATTCGAAGGCTGAACGTGAGCACATTTCATTACGCACTATCTCTTACCGCCTACACTTTCTCGAGAAAGATCACCACCTCGGGGTGTAGAGTGTCATGGGTCTTCGGAAAGCTTGGTTGACAAGTGAATCAAATCATCATGATTCCATAGTTTTTCAAGGTAAGGGTTGCACCTATACAAGTAAGATGGAAAACTCCATTTCAGGATGTCATTGACGTGATATCTACAACGAGCAGCATCAAATCGGGTCTGACATTATGAATCATATAAACACATCACTAGTGAGTGCAACTGCTGGAACTGAGGTTGAAGACATCTCACGACCTAGGAGAGCATATAAGTAAGAATCCATACTGGGCAATGAATTCTACTTCAGAGAAATCCTTCAATCTTGATCAGGTCTGATCCATCCCTTCTTTTATTACACCGTGTGTTCGCTTTTTCGATGTCAACTTCTGGATGAGTGAAATAGTTTTCATTCATGGTTTGCGCGAATTCCGATTTACGATCAAGATGTTGTTCAGTTCACAAAGCGAGGGGCTTATGTCTTCAGCTAATGCAGCATGCTCGGATCCTCTCAAACGGCTGTCGAGAACCAGCTTACAAGCCAATTCAGCTCATAGGTTGAGGACCTATGCCAGACTGCCGCCCTGTTGAACAGGTCAGGTCAGAAAGCGAGAATATTCAACGCCTCATTCACCGACCAACCAACTTGAGAAGACATTGGACCTGGCTGTATAGGATGTCAATGAGCAGTCCCACCACCTACTTCTGAAGGGCCTCAAGGAGTTCAGAATAAGCGGTGATCCGATGAGTTGGCCTTCTCTCATTGGTTGGTTCCAGTTGATTGAAAGTAAGTAATTTATTGGTTTGATGGAAGATCGCCGAATCCGGCCAAGTCTTCCACCGAATTCAGACTGATCAGCAATCGTCCTTGAGACTGCTGTCGAAGGATTTGACATGCTTGGATACGTTCATGTACATGCCGCTGACTCCAATCTTGCAGTTCTTCTGTAAGGTGAGTAAAATCTCAGAGTATCGACTCGCCAAATTCCCCTTAGGGCACAGAGTGTAGAAAGCAGTTGCATTGGCTTCTACTGCACCGCAACCGGCTACATCACCTTTGTATTTTCCAACTCCACATCAAGATTCCGATCCCATGGTAAAACCTGTACAATTTTGGCAAACCAAAGGCGTGTAAATTCCACCGAAGTGTCGAGCTGACATGAAGCTGGACAGTGGCAGAACTACGTAGTCCGACTAAGGGCAGTGCGTGACCGACGACGATTCCTTCAATTAATTGGGAATCAAGCTCGTCGGCGAATCTGCAATTGCCGAAGAGTCATCGAAGAGTCCGATGGAGTTCATGTGACCGACCACCTTGAGCTCCAGTCCGCCAGGCAGAGCCGGGTAGCATTGGCCGTTGTCGCATTTGGATCTATCCGCTCTGATCTGTGTATGTCAGCGCTGACTGAACATCGAGCCGTTTCGGGTCGTCGGCTCTTTGACCAGCGGACGTAAGGGGCTTGACGATTTACGGGCCGAGAGGCTGTCAGACTCTGTCAGACGCAAAAAAGGGAATGAAACTGACCAAAAGGACAGATGCCGTGAAGTCTCTGGCTTTACGTTTTCCGGTCTCCAGCTGCGGCTGACAGCCGTCCTTGAGCTCCGATAATAATGATCCTAAGCATGACGTAGATCTAAAAACTACTGAAATAGTCAATCTGCCGGAAAATACAATTCGAACTTAGAAGAGACGGAGGCCTCGGGGCACTTTCAGAAAAGGGCGGACGGCCCGAAATTTAACTCGGGTAAAGCCCTAAACCCGGGCTTTACCCGAGACCACGCGGGCGAGTCAATAGAGCCTCATGAGGATTCTCGTAAACTATCGGCCAAGCAAATCTTTTGGCAATTTGAAAGCGACGAGAAGACCACAGCAATCTCAGAGGGAAGAAAACGGAAAGCCAAGGGTAGGCCCCGACCATGTAATGAGATTTAGTCCAACTAGATATAAAAGATTTCCAAGCAGAGGTGGCTTCTAAAGTGGTTGGGCATTTCCACTTTGTTCTTACTATGGGATTCGGTGTCGCTTTATTGGCGGGGTTCTATTATTGGACGGGTTAAGTAACCCGTTGTCTATTTCCAGAGACTTTGGATTCCTTCCATTGGTATGAACTTAATTGTCTTTCCTACGCATTTGCTAGGTCCACATTCAGAGTGGAAATTTCTTCGAGTCCTTGGTGCTCACTTCAAGCAGACACCATGTCAGGGATTGGACAATCAGCGGTGGACCAATGTCGAAGCTCAATGCCGAAGAGTATGATCCTCAAAAACTCAACGTGCTGCCCCTGTATTAGAAAATGGAGGGGCCAAGTTGATAGAAGAGGTTCCTTTAATCAAACCGTGCAAGTAATTTAACCGACGGAACCCAAGTGCTAGGCCCTACACGAGGAGGGTGAAGATCTAGTCTGACATCCTTGGAAATGAAGAGGTCTCTATCATCATTGCCCTAGTTTGCATTTAACCCATAAAGGAAGAATTAGTAGAAACGAGCTGCTATTACGATCCAGGGAAATCTTGTCTCAGGCCTAAATCCTAGTCTGTTTCAGAATCCTGAAAAATGTCCAGGATTAATCCGAGAACGACTTGAAGCTGGCGATCAGACTGGGTCTACTAAAAATTCAGAGGACCAATAGGTTTTGAAATTCATTATGTTGTTAATTCCAACAGACTAATTACAGCCTAAAAACTCGATGAGACCCTCGTGTTCACAACATCGTCGATTTTGGAGCGGCCTGTTGGTTCCATCTCTTTAGAATTCAATATTATTCAGACTTGTCTTCTTATATAAACCCCTAAACACCAATAACCGCGCCGATTCTCTTTTGACAAATTGGTCCGCGACAGGATACAATAAATTCCGAGTTTGGACCACTTTGTTCTTTCCCCTGAGGATCGTCAAGAAGGACAATCGAATGATTCACAACTTTCCCCTTCCATTGTTAATGGTAACCATTGCTGGAAGACTTCTAGTTGGACCTAAATATTTGATCACGACTTTCTCTGTGCCTTCGGCTTACAATGTCTACAGTTTTCAAACTTTAGAGATTAAGAAAACATGGGCGAATGGAAGCAATGACAGACGACTACATCTACCTAGGCAAGAATTTCTTCTTACACTTGACATCTCAGAAAAATGTACCAGGAAGTATAAGTACCTCTGAGAAATTCCAAGTTAGATTACGGCAATGATCTAATTTCCGTAATAATCCAAACTGTAGAACTCTGGCTGGAATGCAACGCCTGCATTACATTAGAGCCAAAGTTCAGACAATCTTCATTTGATCTTCAGTCTCTTGAGTAACGAGTTCATGTAGCGTGAATTGTAAGAGTTTCTAATGCATTTGCAAGAGCCTACATCGATGGACTCGTGTATGGAGTTCTTGTGGTGAAACTTAGCGAGTATGACGTTCAAGTTGCGTTTGAATTACGTTGTTGCATACTAGATGCAACGCGAGGAGATGTAATTTCTTCATGTGCTCAAGTCATACATCAAGGGAGGCAAAAAACGCTCGGAGAGAACGGATACTGATGCCTTCACATGTCGAAAGTGACGAATCTGTTCATCCATATTCGAGAAGAGTCCGATTCAGAAGATTCCTGCAAAGTTGTCACATGGTGTATATGTTGATCAACATATCATCAACTTGTTCAGTATCAGAAAGGAGAGTTGAGGATTGCTACAAACAATCCCTGTTGCAAGTTTCACAACTCGTCGAATCTCGAATAAAATTAGGTGAACTGGTGAGTTAAATAGATGATAATTCTTACTTCAGATATCAGTAGCTCTGAAAGCCTGGGTCAATGACAAGGTTTTGCTACTGTCAGTGGAAGAAAAGTTCACCCATTTCCTGGAGTCGGTAATCCTGGGATATGAATGTGGCATAACAGGGAGCCCGAATTCTTGGGATGCATGATACACGCATTTTCAGATCTCAGAAACATGATTTTGAACATAAATCAGTGATTCTGTCATCCTAGCATATTAATCAAAAGAATAAGGGCACAGAGCAGAGTATCGCCATAAATCGCATGCAGCTGTAGGTCTGGACTTATGATGATGGGTGATAAATTTTTTCTTCAATGTCGACATCAGTGATATGAAGTACCATGTGAACGAACGGTAACAAGAAAGAGGCGAATGTTTACTTCCCAGTTAGCATTTACGGTGCATTCCGATTTGTACACGAGCTAAGCAACAGGCAAAGCTTTTGTGAAAAATGACGAAAAGAAATGAAACAAATTCTACATACGAAATCAATCTGGAGACTTCCAGCGGTGAGCCATCCGGTAAGTCGATTGCAGTAAGTCTCTCCGTAAGGGGAAAAGTTGGTTGAAAGTGCATGTGCTGGAAGGAATGTGTTTGTTCCAGCGTCTGCAGGGGAGTTCTCACTACTGGATATGGTCGGCAGGTAGAAATTACTCACATTAACACGTCCATCTGAAGCCTCAGGTCTACAGAGTTCTAGGGGCGTCAATGCAGCAGTTAGAAGTCTGCATACTGATACCGATCTCTTCGTCATCTGTGGTGACATTAAGAACTTACTATCTAGTCTGACGATAAACTATTACTGGCTGCATACCTTACTCAGCTGAACAAAATTGCCCTTTATTACGCAAGCAGTACCTGAGCAAAAATATTTTCCTCTCGAGTGCGATTGTACAATCTGGCTCGAAATTTATAGGAGCCGTAATTTGATAGACTACTTGCTGCGCAGCTTCATGAGTAGATCACTCCACTCGCATTTTGACGAATTTAGACGGGGAAAATTAAATTAAATTACATCCTAAACAGCCTAAATTAAATTGGTCTAAATCATCTTTTAGTTTACTAAATTAACGTAAATGAACTTTGTAAGAAGACTAAATTCGCCTAAAGAATATTTTTGAATAGACTAAAGTAATTTTTTTAAGGAGACTAAATTATACTTATTTAGTTAATTTAGGCGGAAGACTATTATATCCATGCCTGCTCATAAGTCATATGGGAGCAAGGAGATTTTGCTAGATCTAAAATTGGAGAACTTGAGATCATGGTTGTTCTTGAAATTATCAATCCGAGTTGTTTTACAGTTCTTGTACGTCAAGATCAGTTGATTGAACTCGTGCGAAATTCAATCAGTGCTGGACCTAGTACTTCCTATAGTCTTTTAAGGACTAATGCCATCGGCCGCCAGGACTGGAGACTGACCGGAAGGACAGAGACATACACAATTTCCATGCATGTTGTGAAGAAGAGGAGGACTGCTATCAATCAGTCAATCAAGCATCCTGCAATGCAAATTTTTCGACATTGGACATCTGTCTACAGGAGAACTACGGAAAAATTCTGATCTGAATAACTCGTTTAAGTGGAGAGCGAGCTGGATCATTGCCAAGAAATGTTTAATGACCACCTCACGGAGAGGACTTAAACCATCATTATTTAGAACGACGATACAAATGCGCTCAGACGAATGATTCTGCAAATCTCACATGTAGTAGTTAACTGATTGTCACAGCAAGATGATTGATTCCTTCGTGCGGGCGAAGACCATTGAAGACAGTCAATGATGTAGTGGAAGGGAGCATATAACGAACTTCAGAATCACTATCAATGGTCATGCCACTTGCTCTGTAAACATCTGCAAATTTCAAGCTGTAAGGTTAGTCACAAGTCGAAGATCCTTACGGCAGCACAATATTTTGTTCCGCGGGATATTTGACAGAACAATATATCTTGATTAGAACGAGCGTCATTAGTAATAGATGCTTTGTTTTAAAAGTTGGAAATGAGCTACGAAAATCGGTGCTCCAAAGCTAGCATTTGTTCAGTCATATGTTTGATAGCATCGACTTATTGCATTCATCAGCTATATACACAAGCTAGATCTTGCCACTTCAGTACAAATTAGAATGAGATCATAGCGAGTGACCGAGACTCTCATGCAAAAGTTGAGAGATGTCCAGAAGCCCTCAGTTTGAAGTTTATCGGACAAGTCCGTTCAGAGTAGAGATAATGGTCATTACGAACTCAAATTATTAGAACTAGCTCTAGCTAGCTAAATGTGTGGTCAATTAAGCCTCAACCTAAAAGAACTGAACTGTGATATACGGTGAAAGCAGATAGTGCCCACATTTGTCTGCTGTCAATCTATCGTTCGCTACAATGACGAAATTCATTAACGCCTAAAGTTTCCAGCTTGTCGTTATCAAGTTGGAAAGAATGACCGTCTAATACCGTTCTGATATTTAGCTCCAAAGATCAGGACTACAATTTCATGATTCAGCGTACGAGGATCGTTTAGTCTAGCTTCCTAACAATGAGCCAGTTGGCTAATGTTGAAAGGCTTCATGTATTTTGTCCCGCCGTTCATATATATTCCGCTCACCAGGTGGTACAGTTTCTCTGTGGGGTGAGCGTAATCCCAGAACACGTACTCTCCAAGCTTCTCTTTCGGGCACAGATTGTAGAGCGCAGTGCCATTGGCATCGACTGCTCCGCATGCTCCTAAGTCGCCGTTGAAAGCTCCCGTTCCGCAGCAAGCCGTAGACCCCTTTGTGAAACCTTGACATACGAGGGGTCGGAGGTCAATTTATGCAACTGCAATTATTCGCAGATTAACGATACTTCTGTACATGTTCATATTTCATTCTTCACCGTCACAAAGTATACAACCCTCAGCAAGGATTTGTATTCTTTAGAAGTAATAATTGGACAGCAAACTGTAAGGGAATTCTGCTTAGACCTTCTGAACCGACGGAGCTGGTTTCCTAGCTTACCGTATTCTGATCCATTCTTGATAATATTCTCGACGAAGTCGTACTTGTCGGTGAAGATGATAAACGAACCGGGGCATTTCAGAGTGAGGCGCTGTTGAAGCGCGGGGAGCTTGGAGTTGAACATCTTGGTCATGTCGTTTCCGGGTTCGAGACAGGACCCATTGTTTCCCTGAACATTTGCCGGAAGGCATCCGATTGGGCCGAGTCCGTTGATGACGATCTTCTTCGCACCCTCTGCATACAATTCCTGCAGTTCTCAGACAAAGTTCAGAGTCAGCATGAACGCTCGGATCGCAAATGCAAACAAGCCTTCTACTGAATTTGCTGAGGCCAATATTTCTTCACGACATGGATCAAGCATGGATGTCACATAGCATTTGAAGACAGCTCTAGCTTGGGAAGGGGGAAATCAGATAATTAATGCAACTCTTCCGACTTATAAGTTATCTGTAATGTACGTTTTCTTTCCAGTTGATATAAGAATGACAAAAAATATATCTACCAACAACAAAAGAAGCTTCGTGCTGGAGTCCCCAACCTATTGTTTCGGTTGCGTTCAAATTCTTGATTTACGCAACGACTGATTTGAGCCGGAAGTTATTTACCTGGACTGAATCGTAGAGAGAATTTATGATTCTTGTTGTGAATTGGTCGGGAGTGTAAATTTGCTGCATCGTCGCGTTCAGAAGGTAACCCCAAGAAATATCGTTGCTTCCTGTGCTGAAAACGTAGATCGAGCGGGCCAACAAGCGCGCCGCCGCTGTCTTTCCCAGAGTACGGATGAGTGATGCCTTCACTTGGCGAAAGTGACGAATCTGCTCATCGGTGTTGACAACAGTTCTACCTCCGAAAATCGCCGCTAGCTGTTCATGGCCAAATACGTAAGATTTATCTTTCCAGGAGAATCCCTTCATCTAGGACTGGAACATGAGAGTGGGCATCAAATTCTTCATCAAATTCTTCGACATGCTTATATCGAAGAATTTGACCACTGAGTCTTCGCTACTGCAGGAAGGAGATGTAGCCTTGCTATACGTACCATGGTTTTGGTCGTCTCGAAGTTGCCGCTGCCGGAAGAAGCAAAGTCCACTCCCTTGGTGTAGTCCTTAAAGCTCGGGTCCAAATAAGCACGCATGACAGGGAGGCCGAATTCTTGTGCTGCAAATTTTAGTGCAGAGACATTTGTGAGTTTCAGATGTAGCAGTGTACTTTGAGCCATAATCCCATCTTTGCAGATACTGATAGGTCTTCTGCACGCTTATGCATCGGTACTGGGACTAATTCTGCAGCTATATCTGTACCTATCCTGAAATTTCTCTTCATGAGTCCAGTCAACATGACCACAAGTTGAAGCATTTATTTTCGAAATCGATAAAAACTGGATGACATATACTTACCCAAGAAATCAATCCACAGTCTTCCATCGGTAAAGCGGCCGGTGGGTCTATGGAAGTAAGTCTGGCCGTAGGGGGTGAAGTTGGCTAGAAATGCAGGGTTCGCAAGGAAGGTGTTGGTGCCAGCGTCTGCAGTGGAGTCTCCAAAACTAAATATTGCTGGCACGTCAAATTTTCTGCCATTACCGACTCCATCGGATGCCTCAGCTCCACTGAGAGCAAGCAGCGTCAATGCTACTATGCAAAACATCGCTTGTACAGAACACTTCCCCATGATAGTTCTCTTGCGAATACTAATCTACAATCGATGGAAGTCAAGCTGGCTTGTTAAAACTAAGGCTTGATCCAAGCCAAACTATATTGCCTTTCAATGAGGCAGAGAGTGAGATTGGATTGATTGTTCTCTATTTTCAGGCACTCTTTATAGTCTTCGAGAATAGAGATAATATGGATAAACATTTTCTGCAGTTATTAGGCATCAACTTGCCTGCAGAGCATGACGGTTTTCGAGGATGCAGTACCCTTCGGCGACTGAACTGGATTCGCGAACGAACACGTGCTACCAGAGTGACCATTCAGAATTCAGGATCCAGGATCACGATGAACAACAATCCATATGCTTTCAGGAGACACCACTGTGCAAATCAGAAATTGATGTTTGATAATTTTCATTTTTGTAGGGGCTGGTCTGAATTTGTTTACGGGTGTTCATTACCTGTGGTTATTTTACGGATTCGACATTGGAAGAAATTAATAATGAGAAACTCTCCAATCCAAACCGCTTCTGTAGTAATCACCTTATGAAAAGCTATGGGAAGTAGCTAAATTCTGTGTATTATGCGTTGGCAATTTTTGTATAGTAGAATAACGCAGCTCCAGCTATTATTCGGCTTGCAGTTCCAAATTTTAACTCATATTTGAAGAACTCCTCAAAATTCCACCAGTTCGCTCTCACATAATTATCATGTAGGTTTGTCTTCCCAAGTTCTACAGTTCAAAAAGTTCTTTTACAGCTGTACGGATTATCCATCAAGGCAGGGTCGTGTAATCCTGTTAGAGCTGACTTCATTCCGTGCGAAACAGACCACTTACTCTAATCCTTCAGGATCAGTCTCAAGAACCACGAGGACTGGACTGCTTCGTCTAATCCTTCATGATCCAGTAGGACCGGAGATGCCCGGCAGACCGGGAGACTCGACCAGTTACAAGGATGTTGTTTCACGTTCAAGCAGACATCATGCATGGCTAAATTTGTCGATGCTCATAAAATGCAACAGCGGAATTGTTGTAAGGATTTACGACTATTTCAAGTTCTAGTTAACACCGACAGCCAACTGGATCATTGCCAAAGAGTCCATTGCGATCATAGTGATTGTTTACGGGTGACTTTTGAGTGACCTTTTAAAATTCAGGATTCACGCATCAGGTGCCACTATTAATCATTATTCCTCTGACCAGGGGGTACAGCGTCTTTTTGGGGCACAGATCGTAAGGAGCACTCCCATTGGCATCAACGGCTCTGTCGTAAGGTCCCAAGCCGCAACAAGCGTGTAAATAAATAAAAAAACCTTAAGTACAGAAAATAATATTTACGCATGTTCTATGTACATGCCCTGACATTTTTCCAGCTGTGACATTGTAAGCAGCAGTGTACAAGGAATTTGTTTCCTGTACTTCGAGAAGACAAATCTGAAGGATGTAAGGAATTGATCATGCCTTCTTCACTTACAGAGACGTTGTTGCTAACTACCTGATTCTGATCTATTCCTGATATTATTGTCGACTCAGTCATGTTTCTCCGTACAATTATCCGGGGCTTTCGAGAATAAGGCGCTGTTCAAGTTCTGGTCGCTAAGAGTTGAACATCGTTGTCAGCTCGTTTTCGGGTTCCAAGCAGGACCAATTTGTGTCCGGCAACATTTGATGGGAGACATCCAATAAGGCCCAATACGCGGATTAAGAACTTCCTCGCACCCTGAGCGTGCAGTTTTCAGACGGCTCATATTCTTCGAAAGCGCTCGATTCATTGCGGAGATCCGTATTTTCGTAATAGACGGATCCAATACAAAACTAGAAAGACCGTGAAATTATCAGTGGAGTCTACATGGAAACTTGAATTTGAGTTTTTAGTCCAAGATAATGCATTTTCCATGAGGAGAGGCTACCTAGTAGCGACCGCTATAGGTTCCACATTCATCGTGGTGAGAGCTTCTAGAAAGTCCATGATCATTCATTCTGCAAAAATCAACAAAATAATAGAGCACTTTATCAGTCAAATATCTGAAGAGAAAATGGGACTAAAACGTGTACCTGGATGGAAACAAGAGGTCAAACAGGCGGTGTTCGTTCTTTAAATGTTCAAACGATAAATGAAAACTTCCCGTCACTAATTGATAGTTTTTGCTCAAAGACTGAGAGTCGTTACCACTACTGGCCCCCAAACGAACGAATAAAACTTTTTAATCTAGATGAGGAAAGAACGAAGCAGTTGTGAAAGATAAAGCCAAGATGAAAATTTCAAGAGGCAGGACCGAATGGTTGTTCTCGATGATCGACCGAATTGGTACAAGACGTAGCCTTTTACAATTGATGACGACACCTCTGGCAGCTGTAAGGGCAAAGTCCCTTTGACACAAAAGTCCAGTTCTGGCACGACTGAAACGACTACGATATGAAATTGTGCGCATTTGTGATTTACAGTTCAGTCTCCGATGCTGGAATCAGTCTAACCCTCGATGTACGCCTTCACTTACCAGAATTTCTTCTTCTTCTTCTTTAGAAAAATAAAAATATTCGCGCTACTACGAAAAATTGGCTCTTTTATCATGAGTTTCATACCATCTGCTAAAGGTCATCAATCCGATTGATTTAGCAGTCTATCATTAAAAAAAGCATTCCACCGGGGCCTCGCGTTTCGCAGAATAGATACTTCCAATATGCCGGGCTGCCCACAATAGAAATAGAACCAATCCTCGAAACACTTTGAGCATCATATGATTCTGCGGACAAGCTAGACATTTACTTGTGAGAAACGTAGAAATTTTAGTGTCAGCGCACATGGCTCGTAGTAAAAGCGTGATGTATGATTTCGCTAATTAGTGTTGACACAAAATGTGTGTGCTAGAAGAGAGCTTGATTAAAATTGTAATCTAATATATACATCGGATTGCGGTACCTTTTAGGGTTACCGGCTAATCTGTGGCTCATCTAATGCTGCGTCACTACCTTAATTAGGATTTAATCTAGTACCCCCTCTCAAACCCGAGACATCGCAGTTTCTGGGTGAATTTTGTACAATTTGATTATGGAGATAGTCGGAGATCCAGGGGCGTGTTGTCGGGACGTTGTCCGTCAAGGCACGTGTTGGGATTTTGTGTTGATGGTGGGCTCTGGTCCATCTGCGCATTGATAGTGCATGTGAGTGGGACTGTTTTCAGAGCAATTGATCGTGCATTCTTGAGAGTATGTCACAGGCTTTGACCGAGTTGCGGAGGATGAGCGCGAGGAGTAGATTGTTGATGAGCAAAGACGTGTCGGAGTTGGAGCTTTGGAGAAGCAACGTCGACACAATTTCGAAAGACCTCCTGCATTAGGTAAAGCCGTCTCTTGCACTGCTCTTGTGCTTGATGTATGGGAACGATCGCTTGCTAATTTGTGACTTGTGTGGAGATGTAGATCGTTCGTCAAGGATGCAGCTGCAATCGGAGGAGGAAAGGAGGGACAGCTATGGAGTTTCAGGAGTTGATGTTCAAAACTTGGTTCATGTTAGAAATCCTAGGGTTTCAAAGTTTTATTCAGAACGGAATAGTAGAACTAATGGCGTCTATTGTAGTTGGTCTGATTGTGAGTAGCAGGTTTGGGGTTTTAGCGGTTTGCAGTTTAAATACTTCAAGACTTTGGAGGAGGCTTATAGGTTTTCGCATGATTAGAGTCTTGGTACTTTTTTTTTGGAGGAAGTATAGGCTATACAGGTTTAAGCTTGTCCGATGTAACTCAAATTTCACTCTACCGAAAGGCTTGATGAGGATGTCTGCGGGTTGAAGAGAAGTACTAATAAATTTCAATCCGATTTCCCCCTCTAGTACTCTCTCTCTTACGAAATGGTGATGTATTTCTATGTGTTTGCTCCTCGCATGGAAGACAAGATTCTTTGCTAACTTCAATGCACTTTGGTTGTAACAACTAATATGGAGAGCAGGTTCTAGATTTGAACTAATCTCGCTATTTGTTTGGCTGAGCGGGACAAGCTTCGCAGGGATTACCTGCAGTTATGTGAGGAGTCGTGACAGCCAAACAATTTCTTGAGCGCCATCGGAGAGGGCCTTGTATTCACTCTCTGTGGAGGAGCGTGAAATTGTGAGTTGTCGCTTTGGGTTCCAGCTGAGAGGTCCCCAACAGCGCAAAACAGGTACCACGCACCTACACTCCGACTTGTGTCAGGGCACGTTCCCCAGTCCACGTCTGTGAAGCCTTCAAGGTTTAGGGGTTTGTCATGGGCGTAGAAAATTCTGTAGTCAAGGTTGAATTTGATGTAGTGGAGTATGTGGATGGCGAAATCCATATGTGCCTATTGAAGTTGTGCCATATAGCAAGCTATGCGATTGACCGCATAGAAAAGTTCGGGTTTGGAAATGGTAAGGAAAATAAGTTTACCTACAAGTTGAGAGTAAGAGGTAGGATCAATGGGAGAAGTACCTGTTTCAGCAACCAGAATTTGACCAGTGACAAGTGGTACTTGTGCAGGTGTCGAGTGTGGTGGCATGAACTCAGAGTGCGTAGTCATGCTAGTGGAGGAGTACACCGTGAGGAAGGTAATCGAAGGTAACTCCAAGGTATCTTGAAATCTTCCCCATCCATCATATCAAATGTGTACTTTAAATATTGTTTTATCCAATAGATCAGTTCTGTTTCGCTTTCTGTGATGAACAAGTCGTCAACATAGAGCATAACCGAAAGAATATGGTTGTTCTTGTGTAAGAAATATAGGTTGTGGTCGAAGGCGCTGCGTGTAAAGCCGATGCTGCGCAGGGAGGCATCACAACGCTCATAGCAAGCGCGCGAGGACTGCTTTAGTGCATAAAGCGATCGGAGAAGGCGATAGAACTTGGTATGTTTTCCTGGTACCTCAAAACCAGTTGGTTTGACACATGTATACTTTTTCTTTAAAGACACCGTGTAAAAAAGCAGTTTTCACGTCCATATGCTGTATTTCCCACCTGTTTGATGCTGCTAGAGCTATTGCTAACCTGATGGTCACCCAATTTATTATAGATGCGAATGTCTCTTTGTAATCTAATCCAAGATGCTGTTCAAAGCCCCGG